GTTCCGAATATAACTTTACCGATACACTCAACTTCAACAATCGCGCTAAACAAACGCTATAACAATGAACGTCAATAATACTTCTGACTGCAGTTCAATTACTCACTGTCTCCACACACATTACATTAATCTCCCCGCGTCACGTTTTCCCCCCTCTTATATATACCAGCCTACCCTATCTAGTAAATACTAGAGCATTCGCCAAAGTACAGGATAGTTCTAGAACGTGGCGTCACGGTAGTCATGTGCTCGCTGACGCAACAATATTTCGGACAAAAAGCTACTCTTATATTCTCTGCAGGAAGCTGTCACTAATTTTAAACTAGGCCTCGTATTTTGTTTTACCCACCATCATGCCTCATGTTGAAAAAAATATTCGGCCTTGCTAACTAATGAATGAATATTTGCCGTAAAATTCTTATCAATGCTATGAGTGTATCAATCAGTTTGGCCGCCAATTTTGATTTCATTTCTTTAAGTCGCACGTTCAATCCTTTTTTGACCACACCTTTTTTTCACACCTAAGGTATTTTTGATTAGATAGGCTTATTCTAGCATGACGATAAGTTATTATGCTTTTGAGATTTTATTGTTTCAGAAATAGTTTTTATACTACTAGAATGTTTGAATAAATGGCACGACCTAGTGGTTAGGGTATGCGGCTCACAATCTATGGGTTGTAGGATCGAAACCCGTCGTCGAACATCTCTACTCTACTCGCTCGTTCGTTCAGTTATGAGGGCATTATAATGTGACAGTCAATTCCACTATTCGTCAGTAAAATGAGTTGACGGTGAGTTGTATTGACTAGCTACTTTACCTTTAGTCTATCATTTCAAAATTATGGGCGGCTAGTGCAGATAGTCGTAGCGTAGCTTTTTCGTGAAATTCAACAACAAACAATCATGCAATTAGTTTACATGAAAATTATCTCTCCAATGGCTCAGTGGTAAGTCTAAGAGCTCATAACGCTAAAAATTAGGTTTCGATACCTGTGTTGGATAGAGCATAGATAGACACTGTGCAGCTTTGCGCTTAACAACAAACATAAAATTACAAATAATAAATAAAGTAATCAATAGATGGCGCTGCAAAATATAAATTTCCAAGTATTACGTATTTTGTTTGTTGGTGGTTAAGCGCAAAGCTACACAATAGCCTGTCTATCTGTGCTCTGATCATCGCGGAATCGAAACCCGATGTTTAATGTTATGAACCCCAAGACTTTCCGCTTAGTCACCGAGGGGAGGAGGGCGCACGTATTTTCAAATGAGACTACTCCCGATTGATTCTATAGACTATAGAGCATCATGTGAAGAAGTAAAGTAAAACCTGGTAATCCTCCAGGCCTCAAACAACTCAACTTAAAGTTGTTAAAGAATCAACAATATTAAAACAATTACTTATTATAGACGCAAAACGTATCTGTTACTACTATTGTACCCAACAGTTGTTTATTTTTCTTTCATTATGAGTAAGTAATACATCTAACCGGGTATGTACTTTTGTGACGATTTAAAGTATTCCTCGAAATAAATTATCCACTGGATAAACATAATAAATGATGAAAATTGGTAAGCCTCCCCCCAAAAAAAAAATCAATAATAAAAAATAAAGTTAACAATAGATAAAGCGTTTTGCTTTATTTTATGTTGAATAATGAACAAATTTTAAATATTTTGATTAATCCAGGTTCGACTGTGGCCACATAACGTGAAGCTGTCAGTTAGTTTCATATCCTCGTTTTTATTTCCAATAAAAAAAAAAATCATACTATAATTTTTGTAAGTAAATTTAATTACGATTGATATATAGATGTATTGGATATGCCACTATATATTTGCAGTTGATGTTAGGCTTACATAGTAGTTCAACCAAACAACACCCTCATGACTTCTTCTTGGAAGCGGTCACGTGCATTAACCAAGAAAGTTTCTCCCACATGGACACCATTTTTGCCGCCATTGTCTGTAATAGAGTAACGCATGGCCGCCACTAACGTTGGATGACCTTGAAGCCTGGGCACGGCGTCGTGGGGTAGGAGGGAACAAAGTCGAGAAATACTGCTCGTGCATATATACATATATGTGTGTGTGTGTGTATGTACATACACAAGTAGACAGGAAGAATGTTAGCTTGCAAAGGGAGACAAGAAGACCAAGGGGTTTAGTTTCCTTTCCACGGCGTCTTCATCCATGTTTGATAACCCTAGTCTGTGTACCACTTCGAAGGTCCATCACACACTCCTGTCTTAACTAGTCGTTGCGTGGGTTTGTTGCAGGGCCAACAAGTTTCTGCTGTCAGGTTTTAGTTATCCGGTTAATACTTCCACCAGACTAACCTCAACAGCTCATTTTGTTTTAAGTTCAACTTTTAACTTGAGAGGGTAACCTTTTAACACGACAAAGGGTAAAATAAAGGTAAGTTACTGATATTTAAAACAGTCTTGTCAACAAAGCTATATTTAATAACAAGTTTGCATACGCTCACAAACAAAGAAATTAACATAAATTTTATAATAACATGAATATCTTACAGGGGTAATAGTAATATTTACATTGGATGAAAGTTTATTTAGCAAAAATATTATTTGTAGGAATTGATATTTACAAAAAGCGTTCAACAGGCCCACGTTTGTCAGTACTAAAAGGGTTTTATAATTACTAATATTACTTTTCACGTCAGACTTGGAAAACATACCGAGGATGAGGATATAATTTGATGCTGTATTAATAACAATGAAATCGGTTGATAATTGGTTTCATTCTTTTCGTAGATGTTTAGTAAAACAAACTGTAGTGTATCATCGCTGTATGTAAATAATGAGGTCTGAGGAAATAACACTGGCAGCATATACCGGTAGTTACCGAAATAAAGTAATTCTTTTCAAATTAAGAGTAAATAAAACATTCCAAAATGTTTTTGTTAAATCGATACCGTTACTTTTTGTTTTTTAAATGCACTTTGATATAGACACTGCTTATGCTTACTCCACCGTGAGTAATGTAATTGTATATGCTATTTATCGAATATTATTATTGGTTTAAAGTTTCTGTTGTACAAGATTGTGCGTCACCTTTCAAGACATTCGTTTCAATACTCTGATTGGAGTTAAAATCAAGTTGAGATTTGAGTGGTTAATTCGTCTGAACTCTGTGTTTACACTGAAAATGAGCCCTCCCGAACTAAAACTTTAAAAGAGGATTTGTTTGCTTTTGGGCGTAAAGCTACATAGTATGCTATATGTATTGTGCCCACTGCAGGTATAGAATCTCGAATTTTGCGTTAAAGGCCCACAAAATTGACAGTCTTGGCGTGCTATACAGTGGCGCATGCGTAGAGTTTGTGAAATATCTACTACACACCCTTCTTGATTTTTTAAAATTGCAAAAAAGTAATAATCTGTTCTGGCACTAGCAATTAGCAATACCAGACTAAATTTGGTGTAACCGATTAACTCGGGC